GTAGTATATATATATATATATATATATATATATATATATATATATAGTGGTTGAATCAGGTTGTTGAAACGGTAATTGGAGGTGGGCTAGCTTAATTGTTGTTATTAATGGTTGGTAATTATATATATTGGGGTCGGGGAGTAAAATTTCGTAATCTAAGTAGGTAATGACGAGGGAAACCCTTTTTACGGTTATATCAAATTTATCATTGATCAAATTATCATAAATAATTTTACATTGCATTTTTAATTTAATGATATCACACGTTGATGTGATTATACTTAAAGTGATTACGTCACCGTAAATAGTAAAAGTAAAAAAATATTTCTATTTTTTCACAAAATGTATGTAATTCTGTTCACGTTTTATGGTTAAACTGCTGCATTATACTTCCTATTTTACTATATTGTTTGATGTAAACATACATTTGTGACTCATACATAGCCCATAGCAAGCAATTCATATCAGGATCGTAATATCAAATCGTCCAGGTTTTTTTGGATTTTTAACTAGTTGAGAAACAATCTTATCAGGTAAGAAATTGACGATACATTTAGTCACGTTAGTACTTACTTTTAATGTAAAAAAAATGGAAACAACTTTTTTTACAAATATACACCATAGAAAATTCGTGACGTAGTCAATTTAACAGACCTTTTTGTTAATAACACTTTATTTAAAATGATTAATTCAATTTATTTTAGGGCTATTCGCATATATTATATCAGGCATAATTTTAAATTTTTCCTGTAGAATTAAGGGGCAGCCAGTTGGGGTCACCGCCTCCAAGAGACCATGGTCATGGTGGTAGGCGGGTGATGTGTGTGTTAAAGTAGTTTTGGGTTTGTCAGGGCAGACCTACGGCGGTTCGAGTAGTGTCCCTGAATGTGCTCGTCTGTCGTGTGTGACAGCGAGATACATGACAGCTACGATACATGAGATACACGAGATACATGACAGCTCTTGATTATGTCGTTGTTAGGGCGCAAGCGGATGTAAGCGGCTTACGTCCACGTAATGCCACATCCTAAACGCATGCGTATGCGCTATGCGAATGGGAACGCATGCAATACACATGGGGAGTAGTAGAGTAGATACGCATGGCTTTATCGATAACGATTAAACCTGATTCAGTGAAATGTTAAGCGCCAGATGGCGCCCCATGTTCATCACGTCATAATCTAAACAAAAACGCAAGAAACGGGAAAATACAAGATGCGAATTTCGATATTATTATGAAGAGCATCGTTGCGATGCTTACCTTTTGTATATAGTATAGTTATCCCGCGTGGAAATGAAAATTTTGCGTTGTTCCTGATACGATCAAGATTTATTTCCAGACATGGATTACATTTTCAACGTCGCTGATCACATATAACTTCCTTGGTGGAATTAATCTACAACATGCAATCGAGCGAAACAGCAACAAAAATTGAATACTGCAGAAATCGCGGAAATATTTTGCAGGAAGCTTTTGAACATCATTTCAAATAATCAGTAGCAATTTATAATCTATTTACCGCTAGATGACGCCACCGCATAGGCTTTTTTCCCCAGTGCGAAAACTGCCCTTGCCTCAGTTTGGCAAAGATACGTAGGAGAAATGCTAACAATAATAAAGACCGTCCGGCAAAAATATATTGAAATTATCCTTAATCCCTTTTTGCGCATCTTATGGTCTTGCGCAAGTAATGTACTTACACAACAATATGTTATTGATATACTGGAACTAAACAGCAGTGATATTTCGACCAACTCCTATATGTGTCTGCAAGTGAATATTTTGCTGCCTTGGCAAGCGTAGCAAAATTTATGTTTCTCTGGCCAGACGTATCATTTCGCATTCTTACCGTAATCATAAGCAGGATAACCATGCAACCTTCCTGCGCGTGGTACAATATTTCAGCTGAAAGACGGATATCACATCATTACCGAAGACCGACGACATTCGTGGAAGCGCTGTTGGAAATGGCAGTCCGTCCCGCAGTTCAGGACTGACCAATTTTTATTGATTTTATTAAGGGTTAAATAAATAAATAAATATATATATATATGGAGAGGGAGAGAGAGAACGAGAATGATAGAGAGAGAGAAAGGCATAGATGGATAGATAGATACGGATAGGTAGATAGATAGATTAGAATAGATAGATCAGATAGATACGATTAAATAGTGATAGATAGATAGATAGGATAGGATTAGATAGATTGTAAATGATAGATAGATAGATAGATAGATAAGATAGATTAGATAGATGATAACGATAGTAAATAGATAACGATAGATCGAGACTAGATACGATAGGATAGAGATAGATAGAAGTAGATACGATAGATAGATAGAGTAGATAGTAGATAGATGATAGATAGAATAGATAATAGAATCTATTGATAGAATAGATAGATAGATAGAGTAGTAGATAGATAGATAGTAGATAGATAGATAGATTAGAATAGATAGATCAGATAGAATACGATAGATAGAATAGATAGATAAGATACGATAGGTAGATAGATAGATAGATAGTAGATAGATACGATAGATAGATAGATAGATAGTATTAGATAAGAGTAGATACGATAGATAGATAGATAGATAGATATAGATAGATAGATAAGATAGATAGATAGATAGATAGATAGCTAGATAAGATAATTAGATACGATAGATAGACTGACTAGATAGATAGATAGATAGATAGATAGAATGATAGATAAACAGATAGATTAGATGATAGATAGATAGATAGATAGAGTAGGATAGTAGATCAGATTAAATGATAGAGATAGATAGATAGATAGATATGATATAAGATACGATGAGATAAGATAATAGGATAGATAGAATTAGACTAGATAGACTTAGATAGAATAGTGTCGATAGATGCGATGGATTTGGATGGATGGATGGATGAAATGGATGGATGGTGGAGTGGATGATGGATTGATGGATGGATGGATGGATGGATGGATGGATGGAGGATGGATGGATGGATGGTGGGATGGATGGATGGATGGATGGATGGATGCGATAGATAGATAGATAGAGTGGATAGATAGTATGGAATAGATAGATAGCTAGATAGATATGATATGTAGATAGATAAGCATGGATAGATAGATTAGATAGATAGAATAGATAAGATACGATAGATATCTAAGAAAGATAAATAGATAAAAGTCAGAATAGATAGATAAGATAGATATAGATAGATAGCACATTATAAATATATAGATAACATAGATTGAATACTAGAATAGGTAGAGTAGATATGATAAATGAATAGAAAGCTAGATAGATACATAGATAGATAGATAGCCTAGACTGAAGACAGACAGATAGATAGATAGATAGGATAGATATATAGATAGATAGATACGATAGATAGATAAGATAGATAGAAATAGATAGAGTAGATAGAGTAGATAGAATAGATAAGATAGATAGAATAGATAGACATAGATGAGTAATAGAATAGTATAGATAGATAGATATAGATAGGACTAGATAGATAGATAGATAGATGGAGGAGATCAGATAGAAGAGTAGCATAGAGTAGTAGATACAGATAGAATAATGATATAGATAGAAAATAGATAGTGATAGATAGATAGATAGAAGATAGATAGATAGATAGTAGATAGATACCGATAGATAGATATGATAAGATAGATAATGATAGTGATAGATAGATAATTAGATAGATAGTATAATAGATAGATAGATAGATAGATAGATAGATAGGATAGATAGATAGATAGACTCAATAGATAGATAAAGATGAAGATAGATAGATAGATAGATAGATAGAAAGATAGATAGATAGATAGATAGGAGTAATCAAAATGTCCGAAATCAGGGCTGGGCTGGGTTTTCCAGGCTTCTATTCAAGACTGATGAAAGTATTCATAAATCATCGATATGCTCTGAACTAGTGCGCAACATGTGCGCACACAATAATAGTGATAAGTAACCAACGTAGGCTATGACGCATATCGCTTCTGACTACGGAGAGAACGACAACCTCTGCAATGGCCGCAAAGATTTATGCAACAGGCCAGAGCTCTCGGGCCAATATATAACTTGCGGTTTACGATTATTTAAATCCTCTCTGACCGAGATATATTAAATACCGATATAGCACAAAGCAGCACTTCCGCGGCGCAGGTCGTAAGCGGTGATAACTATTAATAATAATAGTTAATTGATAATTACCATTTATTTGCACCCATTCTTTACAGCTATCGTCTAGTGATTAATTAAACATCGGCTTGCGAATTTCTGACTGATTCGTGTGAATTTAATTACAAGTAGCTATTGCTCTGATAATTTACTGGCCAGCATGAGGCCTGTTTATACAGATTTTTAAAGCGCTGAACTAACTACAACACGAGTTTCTAATTAATCGCTTATACATCGTTTCATGAATTATTAATTCTCATCGCTGAGTAAAGCTGTCACGATCGGAGTATTGTAGTCTAGTGAAATATCTGCCTACTTGGTCAGCTTCATGCTTCCGTTAGTGTACATATTTCCTGCCCGGGTTCAGCATAAATATCCATGGCGTATAATTTATGAATACGTCTGTCCCGTGTTTTTACTAGTATGGCTACTATGGATTTTCCTAGGAATAGTGTACATTGTGATAAACCCACACATTTCCTTGTGCTTCAATTATTTCAGCTTGCGTTTCGCACTCATGCGCCTTATTACCTACCCGCTATTGTTCAATATGATTATGTGTGTAGATATAGGCGGATCTTCTAAAGCATTCGCACATCCGCACACGCGCATATGCGCGCTCACATGCGCGCTCATGTGCGCGCGCGCACACACACACACACACACACACACACACACACACACATGCACACACATGTACACGCACACGCACATACATTGCGCACACATTACACGTGAATGCAGACGAATTCGCGGAGGCAGGTGCACACATGCACGCACAGGAATACACAACATATTCGCTCACGCACGCAAGAGCAAACGCGCGCCCATCATTCTGTAAAACTCACACGAAAAATCTAAGAAATCGCACTATATGGGTGCAGTTGCAGACATGCCAGCCGGCAAATACCCCCATCGTGCATCACACTCGCTGAACGCGTAGAGAGAAGCGTAAATTTTTTAAAGTCATGTATGAGGAAATCTGAAGCCTAGTAATTATTATATATACACGCACAGCATGCTTCCTGTCGCAACTATGAGGCAGGGCATCCTGGCACGGTGAACAAACACCACGTTTTCAAGCTGCGTCACGGCGATTTTTTTCCCCAATATACCCGAAACTGAAAAGGCAATAAAATTTTAATCGCAATAATGGATGACGTTAAGTGCTTTCCATTTGACTATGTGGCGCATTTGTGAGAAGTGGCGAGGAGAGAGCGCGCGCGAGAAATGGGGGGGGGGGGGCAGCCGACTCAAAAGCTTATACCCCCATCCATTTCCAACAATTCTAGGGTTTCTTGAGATTAAGAGTAAGATTGCCTAGCTGTAGTCGGTTATGCGGCATGCAGGCATTGCGAAGACGGATAACCCCATATATCTTCTATAATAACGGCCCGCGCGCGTTCTGGTTCCATGTAAATGCACCGAGTTAATATCATCTTTGCCGACGACAACGATTCGAGCTACGTAACGTATAGAATCGACGCGCGCGAATGTCAGTTGATGCCCTTTCGTTATCAAGCGCACTTGTCTGTCCCGCACCGCTATAAATGAGGCGCTTGAAGGAGCAATTAAAGGCGAGCGAGAGGCAGGGATAACAGCAAATAGCTGCAAATGATCTCCGGAGATGGCGCGCCCGCTCGCTAAGTCTGCGGATATGTACACCGTTGGCGGCCGCAGTCGCGCTACTGCAGCGGGAATCCGTCGTCGTTACGGACCGCTATGCATGCGAGTAGTCGCGGCCGCGATGCAGTAAAACGCCTATAAAGAAACCACCGAATTTCATATTTACGCGCGCGCACATGTAGAAGAGTTATATAGGGAGAAATCTGGTTCCTCACAATCGTTCGCATTTAGGATTTGCGCTCGTTTGGGTTACGCGCGGTGGGAATATTAGGTTAGTAAACGCTGCTGTTTGTCGCTTTTTAATTGATCTACTGCTCAGTATAATGATTTACGGTTATTATTCCTAACGAAAATGTTTCATTATTTAAATGCTACGGTGTCTATAAGGTTAGCGTGAGTCAGCTTGTCGTCGCAGGAGCATAGGTTAAAAAATATCTAGTACGCTGATTTTGTTTCCTTTACGAAGAATACTCGAGTGGCTTGCGATATTTATGAGGATTCAAATTGCAATAGACGCCCTACTTCAAACGGAAGAGAAGTGGCTTTCCTCTTGTTGTTGCACGGTCTAATTATGAAAGATACTGCCAACTAGCCTACGCATTCAGTATACATAGCGTCGTCGTTATCCGTTGTAACATAGGTGGTGGTGGGGGGAGTTTTTCGATGTTTTAACGAACAACGTATACGGCTGCGCGGCCTGCGAAACAGAAGTAGTAATTTAAATTCAAACGCAAACTGGAGTATCAGATATAAATGCCTCATTAAATTTATCATGGTAATTTAAATGCTATGTAATTTATAGCTGCAGCCCTATAGCGGCAACATTCTCGAATGAGTTTCTTAAAAGAAGACGTTGCTTAAGCGTTAATCAATCCATAATTATTCTCGTTAAATGCGCTCAGATACCTAACAATGAATACTCAGTAGATAGCACATATAGATATTTAATTAATATTACCTAATTGACAATATATACGCGGTCTTAAATTACGCTAATATTACCTCTTTATACGTTCATGGCCGTGCTGATGATAATAATTAGTGAGTTTAATGACGTGTTGTTTTGTTTATACGCAGATTTGGGAAACGTACGTACGGATATGGAGACACCATGAATGACGACGTAGACAACTGGCTTTATGGACGTATATAAGAAAGAGGTTCGTCGAAGAGCGCCTTGATATAAATAGTATTCATATCATAATGTAAATGAATTATAACAATATGTGTAATGCAGCATGTGCAAATTAATGGATGATAAATTAATTTAGCTGCATTTATCTAAAGGTTCACGCACACTGTTTTCCATTGCTCGTTTACATCACGGTACCATGTACAAGTTGATCGTTGTTGGTAAATTTAGTGTATGAGAACGTTTTAAGGTATGATAACGTTTAATAAGAGCTGCTAGCTTGCATAGCTGTTCTGCGAAGAATCCGTCTGTATGAGCGTGTATGCCACAATAACGGTTACATGGGTAACGCAGCATGCAGTTATATACCGTATATTGGGATAGTTCGATAGAATCCCTAAGGTAAAAGCTGTACAGAAATGTAGATGCAATCAAACGAAGTCAGCGGGAAAAGCACAGCTTTCGCGAAATTTCGCTTATGTACTACGTTAAGTCTTATATAAGTTAATTCTTATATGTAAACTAAGATAACATAACGCCTAGTTAGTTTAGTGTTGCGGAACGGGGTTTTCATGTTTGGCGAACCGTTAGCGTATTATTATAGTTATAAGATTTATTATAAGGTATATTGTTTAAGGATAGTGCCACGTTCGAGCTATTATCGACGTGGTTACGAAGTCTGCTGCAACTGACGGACTGAGTCGACAGGTGGTCGTCCATTCGTTGATTATAATCCCGCCGTCGGGCATTTTACATCGATGTAGCCTTCTTTCCGAATTTTTAGCCTTATTGCAATAACGCATACATAACTGCGTTGGGTCGTGGAGCATACGACGTTACCTGCTATACAATCTCAGCACGTTCTGTAAGATGCCATGTCTATATTAGGCCAAATATGGCCGCGTATCTATTTGGAAAGTTTAGATGATATTCGGACAGGAAAGACATATACAAAATTCCTGCGTGCGAACGGGTTCGACTCCCTGGGTAAATTGTTTACCCGATAGGTGACCCTGCGGGCTGGGCTGTGCCATCTAAGGATGCGTGGTCGCGCTGTGATGTTAATATCTTAATAGCAGGGCATCGGCTTGGTGCTCCCACGGGACGCCCGACCAACAGACATATCGATTATGAGCTATATTGTCATGAGGATAATAAGATCATTGACTTGTTTAGCGCATCCTCTCGCTATAACCCCGTGTGTCGTCGTCAGGAGAATTGCGCTGTTCGGTTCAACGTATTCCTGCCGTGTATGGTCTGCGAATGACCAGCGTAAACCCAATATACAATATATAGTCGAGATAGGCGCTACGGAACGTTAATGAACATAGCAGGGAAGGAGAAAATTAGCGCCAGTTGGGTTAGGCCTGGCGCGGGGGGACACTTATGCGTGGATGCCAATCGCCTTTATACTGTAATACTGTAATCTTACTGTTGATGGTGGTCACGTTATCAACTTTGTTATTCGCGGTCGAAACACAATACTCGATAGTGGGATGAGAATGAGATACTGCGATACGGCATACACACACACACGCACCACCACGCACGCACACGCACGCACGCACGCACGCAGCACGCCACACGCACACGCACACGCACACGCACACGCACACGCACACGCACACGCACCACGCACACGCACACGCACACACACACACACACACACACAACACACACCACAACACACACACACACACCGCGCGCGGTACCACACACACACGACTAATGCTGGACAAGGCGAGATAAAGAAGGCACTGCGATGTCATTGCATTCGTGTGCACGAGGCAGTCAATTAATCACATTCATAGATTAATATATACATGAAGGCCGACCCGTCGTGTGAATCAATATTATGATTCAAAATTCCTACGTGTGGCACCTCTTCATTTGAAGCTGTGCTGATTTCAGTGGTTAGTGAGTGCGGAGCACGTACATGAATGCCGAGATAGACCAAATAGTATTGGAGGCGACACTGATATGATTGGGGGCACTAACAATACAATAGCTATCATGGCGAACTTCAAAAGACCAGTGTCTGTATTCGGTTTGGTGGCTATCGCAGTCATCCACTAAATGTAGTCCATTGACAGTCGAATATCTTATTGTACATTGTATTTGATCAACGGCCAATAGGTTTATGAATGCGGTTTTATATATTCCCGTGGCATATTTAGACTAATGCTATGCAGCGATTGCATTGTGATATAGCCGTTCCTCCAGTAAAAGTGAATAACCTTTGCGTAAGCTAAGTCAGCTTTTATTTAATTTGATATATAATTTTATTCAGTCGCAATAGGCAGCACGATTTGCATAACACGATTTTGATAGACTATCTTCGATGGTAATCGTGGTGCACGCTGCATTTATTTTATATTCATGAATTTACGTGAGATTACCGAGATTCGGCTGATGCTTTCTCGCAGGCTAGATGGACAGTCGTGGATCAAACACAATGATCAGGAAGGATTTCAGTCAAGAAACATGCCGGAGATTTTGCGGAGCAGAAGCCAACGTCGTCTTGACAACTCTTCACAGTCTATAGACAACGCGTCCACGCGCCAATTCAAGCCGAATGCCACCGCCATCTTTATAACAACTCAGAAGTCTGCATTGGCGATATCAGAGACTGTTTCTTTTGCGGAAATCATCGTTATCAGTTTGATAAGTGACAGTGTATATGTAAACGAGCGTTATCACATGTGGTTGTATATGATTATGATATATTTCTTCTGTCTACATCACAATATATGATATATATGTATATATATATATATATATATACACATATATGTATATACATATAAATGTAAGACATATATTTACAGGGCAATACTTGATAATTAAAAGGAGTGCTGTTTATTATCGTTGCGTATGTTTAATAAATTAAAGTACTACTGTGTACGAATAGTAGTAATTATTGTTCTAGATGGGATATTTTCTGTAGTTTTTTTAAATGTAATATACATGCGGATATATTTATCCTACACGTAAGGATTTTTTTGTTTATATCAATTGTAAAATATTTGCTGTTATGTAAATTATTTTAAAAGCTATGACATATTCATAGGTCACTAGTTTTTCAGCTATTTGTCGTGAATTATTTTCTGGCATCAGCCATTACAAATTTATAATTTTTCATGCATATTTCCCCATTTCTATTCTTTCTGAGCTTCTTTGAAAAATCAAAATTATTACATGAAATCACAGATAATTTTTTTTAGCAAATTATTGTATGTTCATTCTATCGACAACGCAACGACGATTATTTAATACGATTGATTCCTTTTCGACCAAACTATGTGGTTCAAAGATTTGCAGTCTCTTCTACAGTCTATCATCGGCGACGCCCAATAGTACTTAAACACGTAGTTTATGTACATGCGGGAACCTTCTTCTCTAATTTCTAAAATCTTCTCTCTAAGCGATATCGCAAAAATCGCAGCCACTCACACCTACACATTTACAATCACGCACGCTCAGGCACCGCCAACACATTAGAACAAGAAGGCGTTAAACATTGTCCACACCACGCCCTGGCCACACTCTATCTCGGGCTTTCTAAAGATACAACATAACTTGTTAACTTGTTAACTAATTAAGCACGGTGCTTAATTAGCTGTTTAATTTCGACTAGCATACTACCAGAGAGCTACCATCAGCCTCGCCAAATAACGATAATTATTACTCCCGATAATCAACGTTTATACAACGTGGTGGCGGTTCCATACGAAAGCCCAGAAGGCTCATGCGAAATGCGAAATGCGAAATGCGAACTGCGAACTGCGAAATGCGAAATGCGAAATGCGAAATGCGAGATGAAAAATGCGAAATGCGAAATCTGAAGCAACCAATCAGAGAACGTGTTGGTCTTGACAAATCGCATGGCCGGTATTAATTACTACAAAGACAAAGATGGCGATCTCGATTACAAACAATGAGGGTGAACAATTCACCTTCACATTTCATTGGTCATATTGTAAACATGATGAAAGCTAAGTGCTGATTCGCTGTACATAAAGTCGCAGTTTACATTTCACATCTCGCATCTCGCAGTTCGCATCTTGCATTTCGCATTTCGCATCTTGCATTTCGCATTTCGCATTTCGCATTTCGCATGAGCCTTCTGGGCTTTCGTAGATTTACGTAGTTTTTTCCATGCACGTAGCTTTCTACTCTAAGCTGTAGATTGAACTAGAAGCTGCATGATAGATCGAAGATATATATTCTCTTGGTCGTTTCCTTGTTCTCGTTGAGGAAACGTGAATATAATGAATTTAATGTTGATAAATGCGATATTTTGTCATAAACTTAATGTATTGCTAGGCTTATTATTACTACCATCCAATCTTAGCACCATGTATAATGTTTTACGACCGTAAGAGCTTATTTTATACAAAAAAATAAAACGTAGTTACACCTATGTTGATATGAAACAATCGGCACATGCGCCGAACAAATAACGCTAATTGAAATTAAAGTTTAAGCGACATACTATTTAGTTACAGCAGATACAGTAGAGGCAATCACGTATCTTTAATCTAAATTTTATTAAAATAAACAGAAACGGTCACAAATTTGTTCAGTTAATCCTGGCCATGTTTCAAGAAGCACTCGCATACATTTTCTTAATGTTACTCGCATAGGCGGGGAACTATAGATTAATAAGTGATCGAATATTACGGATACGAGCGCTGCCGAGACAGCTCCCGGTGGACTTCTATAAAAGGTTGGAAGATTTCGTGTCTGCATGCAGCTTAGTATCATAATAACTTAGAGAATCGAGTGTCACTAGCTGATTTGTTACGTAATACACGTACGATGTTGGTCGCTGGCTTTAGCGGGCTTCCTGAAATGGACACCGATGTGTGATTTCTGTCGGCAGGACTGTTTTGTTTGACATTAATTGAAATGTTTTAGAATTGTATACGCTATATCGTGCAACCAAGAACAATTACATATTTAAAATTGCGTTTTTTGTTTTCGGTTATTGCCGCGGGCTGCGCTGGCCGGGTGTTGCTCCCTGTGGTCAAGTAAGAATATACGTGTGTCTTTCTCGCATAACCATGAAAATGCCGTCGTCCTCGCTAGAAAAAAACTGTTACTCTGTTGCGTCTTGAGTGTACACCGCCGTGGCATATATAGCAATGACATTAAGAATTAACGCCCGCCCACGCACGCCTACGCGCAAACGCAGACGCACGCACGCGCACCCACGCATGTCAATGTACGAATACGGGTGGGCACGCTTGCACACGCACGCGCATATACACACAATGTTGCATATACATTCACACGCCAACGTGCCGTGTATTCACTCTCACGCACACACGCCACCATAATATACATCGATACATTCTGTCCCGTTATCTTTCAAAGTGAGCAATCGATACACAGGTACTGGAGAAACTTGATAAAATCCTTGATAAAAAGTGTTTTTCGAGAAAAAGAAGGTCGGCTGGTGCGTGGTCCGTTAAACGTTGAGTATTGCTGAGTCAGTACGTCGCCGTTGTTCGGTAATGTGAAAAACGTGTTTCACAAATATATGCACAGACGAGAGTTTCATTCGACGAAACGACAGCGAAGTTATGATTTGATGCTTTTACGCGAAGCACCAGAAATCGTCATTTCTTTTCAGAATGCGCAATCGTGTGTATTAGCAATTGCCAGGTAACTACGTATTCGCCATCGTGTGGCGATAAGAAAAATCAATGCAGCAGCCCTCGGCTTGCGTTTAAAATGTACGGAAGCGCAGCAATTTTGATAAATTACAATGATAAAACCGTCTCTAATTATATAAGCATTAACGTTATTATGCGAAAACCTACCAGGCATTAAGAAAAAGCTTAAACCAATTACTCAATTGCAAGTAAATGACTATCATTTAAGTGATTTGTTGTGAGAGTAAGCACCGTGAATGACACACGTATCAATATAAAGCTAGCAAGTCACGATCATCCGAGGGAAAAACAATTCCCAAATGTGATTATAATATCGTGTCATGTCATTTTTATCCTTCTTGTTTTCTGACAGAATATTGCAGTCAATTAACTCAAATAATTATTTCAAATAATTCGGTGTACGATGCCCATTTCGCGCCATCTGTGGAGAGTTGCAGCCAATGTGGCCTCGGCGTGGCTTCTCCGAAACCAACTGGACAGCTTCAAAACTAATTTCGATGCGATTTGTTCCGGATACTGCATTCAACGACACACACGCGTGATTTAACCTTCTTTTCCTCTTTACGCACCGGTTCACTGGTATAACGCGTAAACACCCTCGCGACGCGTTTTTTTAACCATTTAAACCTCCATCATGTGCTTTTTACTCGGGTCACATCACAAATACGCGTAGCTGTTATCGCTTATGGCGCAGGCTCATTCGCATTGAACCCCTCATGGCAGGGTCGTCGGGCATGCTTATTTCATTATTGTTCCGCATACGCCCATCCATGATCACTTGACCTTCTTTTGGCGTGCACATCTTATACAAAGTCTGTCACGCGCCTTCGCACGATCAACTTATAGTTTAAGCTATAGTAGTAGGTTAAGGAAGATGATAACATATAATTGATAATACTAGATTACTATATGGAGCTAACACGACTGTACGAAGATTAATAATGCGCATGACTGTTTAATTGACTCCTTGAATGACATATTTAAATGAGGTAAAGGCAAAGAATCGGCGCGTATTGACTAAGAAATTCAATAATTGATTAAAAAAACAACTGGCATCAATACTATTTCTTCGTTTATTACTTGTTTACACAATTAATTGCTTTATTGAGTGGTTGCTCGGTTTGCTGAATAAATATTTGTGAATAATTACCCACAAGTTTTTGGAAGAAGATACGTCTATTAATTTTACCGATAAAAATGGGATTTTTTCCACATTTCAAGCCAACAATCCGCACCACAGAGCGAGATCTTGTAATTTATACCGCAAAGAGCACGAGACATTGCGCCTGGACCGTCCTTGATTGTCAGCGCCAGGTTGACAGAGTGGAAGGCTGTGAATTATAACCAGGCACTATTATTTGCTCGCGTAAATAGCATAGCTATCGCATATATGTACAAACGTTGTACGTGCTAATGGTATACTATAGAGCCGGAAGTTCATCTTTGTCGATGACGAGAACGAGGTTAGGTGGTTGACTTATCCGCAGCGTGCATGCGTGTCGCATTCTGATAAGCTTGCTCCCCACGACGTCAAGTTTATCTTAACCCAACCCATCGGGACATGTATACTGCTCGACGAACGCCATATTGTGTCGCTGCTATAGTTACTGCTAATGCGAGGATACCGATCCGGGGCTTGACTCTCGCTGTTGTACGTGCTCGGCTACCCATGATGGGCTGGGACCGTATTGATGTCCGCCAACTGATTTTGCGCGCGGCTCTTCGAACGACGCCAGCGCTCGTAGCGGTGACATTTCGCAAAGACGCGCAAGTGAAATAATTTAAAGGGAAAAAGTCGACGTGGCATTTTGCACGCAAAGACGGCGGGGGGATATCGAGACGATAAAGCTGGGGTTTCGTAGGCGAGTGAGATGCGAGTTGGAGCTTACGATCTAATTCTCACCATATCGTATCTGACAATAATGACAAAGGGCCAGTGGTATTGTGGTTGCACGGATGAAGCAAATAGCGGGTAACGCACGTCATATTGGTATCCAAAATTTCGTGTATTTGTCACCAACCAGTTAAGCATTTTGGCATTGAGACATGATTATGGCGTGCACAAGTAGACCCGGTTATGATAAATGACTATAGTTACTATAGCGTTGTTTAAAATTCAGCTAGTAGATGCCATCGAAGACGGCCACAGACTATCGAATAAGTATCAAATTTGCAAAGCATAGTTTTACGGAAATCCGACGTAATCAAAGTATTAATATAGGACAGTATGCAGCTTGTATATTGGCTCTAATAGTTATACGTTATATTATATTATATTATATTTGATATTAATATATATTATATTATA